GGTTTCTAGGAATTTTTTTTTTTTGATCTGTCTCCTCAGGCAAGGGCAACAAAAAGCAAAAATAAATAAATGAGACCACATCAAACTAAAAAGCTTTTACACAGCAAAGGAAACTATCAACAAAACAAAAAGGCAACCAACTGAATGGAGAAGACATTTGCAAATGATATATCCAGTAAGGGGTTAATAAACAAAATATATAAGAAACTCATACAGCTCAATATTTTTTTAAAAATCCAATTAAAAAAATAAAAGAACACGAAGACCTTTTTCCAGAGAAAACATAGAGACAGTCAATAGGCACATGAAAATATACTCAATATCATTAATCATCAGAGAAATGCATGATTATCATTAAAAAGATAACAAAGAATAAATATTAGTGAGGATGTGGAGAAAAAGGAACCCTAGTATATAGTTGGTGGGAATGTAAATTGGTACAGCCACTATGGAAAACAGTATGGAAGTTTCTCAGAAAATTAAAAATAAAACTACCATATGGCCTAGCAATAACCCTTCTGGGTATTTATCCAAAAAAACCCCCACTAATTCAACAAGATATATGCAAACCAGAGTTCACTGCAGCACTGTTTATAATAGTCAAATATGGAAGCAACCCAGAAGTCCATTAATACATAAATGAGTAAAGATGTGAGATACATACATACAGACACATGCACACAATGGACAAGCACAGATGTAGACACACACACAATGTAATATTACTCAGCCATAAAAAAGTATGAAACCTTGCCATTTGAAACAACATGGGTGGATCTATTAATAGAAGATATTATGCTAAATGAAATCAGCTAGATAGAAAAAGACAAATACCATAAAATTTCATTTACATGTGGAGTCTTAAAAGGTCCGTATAGCCAAAGTTATGGTTTTTCCAATAGTCATGTACAGATGTGAGCTGGACCATAAAGAAGGCTGAGCACTGAAGAATTTATGCTTTTGAACTGTAGTGCTAGAAAAAACTCTTGAGAGTCCCTTGGACTGCAAGATCAAACCAGTCAATCCTAAAGGAAATCAATCCTGAATATTCATTGGAAGGACTGACGCTGAAGCTGAAGCTCCAATACTTCGGCCACCTGATATGAAGTGTGGACTCATTGAAAAAGATCCTGATGCTGGGAAAGGTTGAGGCAAGAGGAGAAGGGGGCGACAGAGGTTGAGATGGTTGGAAGAGGAGAAGGGGGCGACAGAGGTTGAGATGGTTGGAAGAGGAGAAGGGGGCGACAGAGGTTGAGATGGTTGGAAGAGGAGAAGGGGGCGACAGAGGTTGAGATGGTTGGATGGCATCACCGACTCAATGGACACGAGTCTGAGCAGGCTCAGAGAGACAGTGAGGGACAGGGAAGGCTGGCATGCTGCTGGTGAGGGGCTGCAAAGAGTCAGACACGACTGAGCGACTGAGCAACAGCAGCAAAACCACCGCAAATGAGCAAACATAACAAAGCAGAAAAGGACTCATAGAAACAGAAAAAACCAGTAGTTGCCAGAGGAGAGGTGAGTAAATAGAAAGGGCAAAATAGGTGAACGGGATTAAGAGGAACTACCAACTTCCATTTATAAAATAAATAAGTCATGGGAATATAATATACAGCATAGTGAATATAGTCAGTAATACTGTAATAATTCTGTATGGTAACAAATGGTAACCAGACTTACTGTGGTGTTTATTTTGTAATGTAAAAAAATATCAAATCACTATGTTACACACCTGAAACTAATACAACATTGTAAGTAAATTATACTTCAATTAAAAATCAAAATTGTATTTAAGGTGTTAAAAAGCTAATTAAAAATAAATTATAAAGCACACACTCTGAGTTAAAACAATAGATGATTAAAAGAGAATCAATTGAAAATTATATAAGTGAGGAATACAGTCATTAAAATTAAAAACGCAGTACACAAGATATTTTAGGCAAAACTAAAGAGCTAGAAAATTTGAAGACAATACTATGAAATTCACTCAGAATGTAGCCCAGAAAGAAAATCAAAAATTTTGAGAAAGAAGTTAAGAAACATAAAGGTTAGTTCCACAAACATCTAGACGGTGTCACAGCAAAAAAGAAAAAAAGAAAAAGTGAAGAGAATGGAAGAGAAGCAATATTTAAAGAGATAAAAGCAAGAAATATTCAAGAAATACATGAGTTCTTAGATTAACAGTACATTCTAAATACTGAAAAACACAATTTAAATAATTATAGATATATAAGGAGCTCAGCTCTGTCCTCTGTGATGACCTAGAAGGGTGGGATGGAGGGAGGCCTATGGAGGAGGGGATATATGCATGCTAATAGTTGATTCACGATGTGGTACAGCAGAAACTAACATGACATTGTAAAACAATTATACTCCAACTTAAATAATAATGACAATCAGGTAAATAAATCAATTTTTAAAACCCACACAGACTAAAATATTAATTGTAAAAAGAAAATCTCAAAAGCTACCAGAAAGCACCCTGAACACCACTGGATCTGCTGGATCACAAGGCTCAAGAGGCAAGCTGCGAGAGCAGCAGCTGAGTCCACCGAGGCCTGACAGCCTGCAGAGACCATGCGGAATGAAGCAGCTCAGATCAGCACACTCATGCTGATGCGAAAGTCCCATGAGCATTTTGCCTCTTTCTTAACAGTTGGTGGATACAAAGTGAGGTGACTGTCTTTCATTTTAGAGACAAAAAACGTCCTGAAAAAGCAGAACCTTAAATGCTTCTAAAAACTTCTAGCAACCAGAGATTTGTCCACCCTGGAATGATATGTAGTCTGGACTTAAATTTCTCTTCCTTGCCCACCATGTTTCTGCCAGCAGCAGCTAATATGGACTTCTTTGGATGTCTTGTTCATCATGGTATCACAACCAACTTCAGACCAATGGACTCATTATACATACAGCCAAAGAACTGAGACAAGGAGCTGATGCCAACAGGGTTCAATGTCAGCTCTAGTTATTATCAGCTGCTATCTGAACTTGATGTTTTTCATCTTTGTTCCTTCACCACTTACAAATTTCTTTACAACACACTATTTCATTCCATTGCATCTTATCTGAAATAAAGAAACAAGAATGAAAGTCTGAGTTATCTGGAAAGGATAACAGATGTTATCTGGAGGATAACATCTTCAGATAATAGATGTTATCTGAAGTCATCTGGAGGATCGCAGATGATTTCCAATAGAACAAATGGTCTCAGAAAACTGGTAATACATAACACATATCATAATTGTTTAGATAAAGACTAGACTAATCACTTTGCCTACAAAGGTTAGTATAGTCAAAGTTATGGTTTTTCCAGTAGTCCTGCATGAATGTGACAGCAGGACAATAAAAAAGGCTAAGCGCAAAGAACCGATGCCTTCAAACTGTGGTGCTGGAGAAGACTCTTGAATGTCCGCTGGACTGCAAGGAGATCCAACTAGTCAATCCTAAAGGAAATCAACGCTGAATTTTCACTGGAAGGACTGATGCTGAAGCTAAAGCTCCAGTACTTTGGCCAACTGATGCAAAGAGCTGACTCACTGGAAAAAGACCCTGATGCTAAGGAACACTGAAGGCAAGAGGAGACGAGTCCAACAGAGGATGAGATGGTGGGATGGCATCACCAACTCAATGGACATGAGTTTGAGCAAACTCCAGGAGACTGTGAAGGACAGAGAAGCCTGGCATGCTGCAGCCCATGGGGTCACAAAGAGCCAGACACGACTGAGTGACTGAACAAGAGTCATCAATTTTTCATAAAGGTTAGCAAACCTCTCAGTTAGGTTCCCCTGGAAAGCAGAGCTCAAGCAAGCTAAAGAAGGTAAGAGACCTGAATTTGCCTTATTTCCAGATATAAAATCTCTCACTAAAATCACCCACATCATGCTATCCAAATGGTATACCTGGTAGTCACTCAAGGGGATCAAGAGGGACAAAGGCTCTAGAACTAGCCACAGGGTCTCAGAAATGTTCTAAAAATTTGTTTTATTATGGCACAAGAGCACCACCTACTGAAATAGTTCCAAGGGATAATTTATCCATTTATCGAAAAATGGCTAGCTCTATACCCACCTCTAACCAACTGTTTACCTTGGCTTCAGAAGAACATGACTGTGGAGGGATGGACTTCAAATCATTTCAATATAACTGGCTGTGTCTCTTTCTTGTTTAAAACTAGGGTCCTTGCCAAGACCTCCTGAAAAAGGAATCGTTCCCCTCATTTTTGCTTTAATAACCATAGTAAAATGAGTCTTGCTACCATCAGTATCCTCTTTCCCTCCTATTCAGCTTCAGTTATCTCAGTGAATACTCTATTTCTTAATCTCTCCCCCCATCTGTTTTCCAAGAAGCAGAAAAAACTCAAGGGGGCAACCTATAGGTTCTAATGAGTCTAGAAAGGATATATATGTCAAGTCATTCAGTCAAATTTTAAAACACACAAGGCACAATACTAAGATTGGGGAATTGTGCTTTTTTTCAAACTCATTTGAAGATGATTACAGTAGCCCCCCCTTTCCTCAAGGAGTTTAAAATGAACACAGAAGTTCTAGACCAGCAAAGCTGGAGGCCAAATGAGCTGCTAGTAAAATAAAGAAGAAAATACACAGGGAAGGACAGTTTGGGGGGTTGTGTAACTAATATCATAGGAGGGCAGATTGTTTCTGCTATGCTGCATGCATACAGAATAAAGCAAAAGCCATGGCAAAAACAGCGTTCTTTCTGTAGCCCCCAGGTTTTCATGAAGCTCTTAGTTACTGCCAATTACAAAACCCTTGACCCAGACTCGCTTGAACAACTCACATAAATTCTAGCTTATATGTCATGTAGTCTTGTTACTTTTTATTGGTCCAATGGGGATACCCTGTTTATGAGCCATTGTATGCATAACCTCTACCATGCCTTAATTGTGATGAAAAAGCAGCAACTCATGTTTACTCCCAATCATGTCGTGCATTCTGTCATCAGTTACTAGTCAGGGTTTTCATCATAGCCAGAGTACTCACATGAAAATAGAAGGGATCCTCTACATGGCACAATCACAGAAGAAATAACACATAGCCCCAAAATGCCGGTCATCTGATGCCTGTAAAAGTACAAATTTGTTAATTTGGAAATCATTGAAAATTTCAAAGCAATAAATATGTCTTTATTCTATTTCAATTGCTTCGTAGAATAAAAGAGGACACTTTAGAAAAATTCCGATCATAGTTCTCTAGTGTTTATACATGGCTATTCTAAGTTCAGTTTGCACTGTATGGTGTGCTTGTTAAAGCCCTGTACCAACGGGAAACCAGGGCAGTGTCATAGGAAAGGTAAATCCAACTGAATGTGAAAACCTCAGGAGAGAGACTTGCTGGAAAAGAAGGAAGTTATACAAGAAAGAGGCAAATTCTAAGATAAAGAGCAAACAACTAGTTGACAGAAATAAAGCAGAAAAAAAAAAACCAACGTGTGATTCACAGGCCCATAGAATTGAGGGAAAAAAAGACATAATATTGGGTTTTATTTGTCCAATATAAAATAGATATTATTAAAAAATAATGTTAGACAACAGGGGGGCTTCCCAGGTGGCTCAGGGGTAAAGAATCCACCTGCCAATGCTGGAGATGCAGGTTCAATCCCTGGGTTGGGAAGATTCCCTGGAGAAGGGAATGGGAACTCACTCCAATATCCCACGGACAGAGGAGGCTGGTGGGCTACACTCCATAGGGTTGCAAAGAGTCGGACACAACAAAGAGCTGGACAACAATATACCAACAGGGGCCAAGAAAAAGTTTAGTAGGTCTGCTAGATTTGACCCAGTTTTGGCCCTCATTAGAATTTCGGATATAGAGAACATTTGCAGTTACCTCTCCAACACTTATTTTCTACATTCCTCCTTCTTAACAGGAACCTAAAATTTCTTAGCCAGCAGATTTCGGTGAGACAAGAATGAGCTCTGAAGGCGTTATGCAGTGGTTCTTGACCAGGGGCAACCATGACCCACAGGGGACCTCTGACGTTTGCAGGCATTCTTGGTTGTCACAACTAGAGGAGCGTGCTGCTGACAAACAGTGGAGAGAGGCCACGGATGCTACTAAACTTACACAGGACAGTCCCCCAAGAGCAGCGATTGTCTGGTCCAAAATGTCACTCCCTCACCCATGCTAGAACACTCAATCGCTCACCCAGGAGTTTCTGAGAACAGACTCTCTCCTTGTCAGATGTGAAGAAGGAAGTAAGAGTTCCAGCTGCTGCTCGGAGCTATCTCACTATGACATAGAAGCCAGCCTTAGGATTAAGTGTGGTAGGCAAACACAGGTTTCAGGTGATGGCTCCTTGCCATGAGGGCTCTTAAAAAGACAGACCACTTTTTGGAAAATTACTCCATTTTAGCACCTCATTACATGATCTTTTCACTTCATACCATACTACATAAATCACCAAAGGCAATATATCGACATTATAATTTCAGATAAAGAATACTCATTAATTCACTCAACACAGCAGTTTCTTGTCAAGAATATGACAGAATGAAAAGATTTTTAAAGTTATTCAAACATGCCACCATATACATGGTAGGCTAAATGATGGCCCCCACAAATGTATGGTCTCCTTGGGACCTGCAATTAATACTTTGAAGGAGTGAATTCATATACACTTTGTATGGCAAATAATATGATTAAGAATCTTGAAAAGAAGTACTTATAATGGATTACCAAGGTAAGCCATAAAAGAAATCAGATGTATCCTTATGAGAAAGGGGGAGTATGAGGCAGACGCACAGAGGAGGAGACAGGCAGGCAGAGATCGAAGCAATGTGGCCACAAGCTCAGAAGTGCTTTCGCCGGCAGTCACCAGAAGCCAGGACCAGATTCTCCTCTAGCGTCCCCAGAGGGAAAGCAGTCCTGCCAGATTTCAGACTTCTGGCTTCCAGAACCATAAAACAATACCTTTCTTCTGTTTTCAGTCTCTAAATTGGTAATTGTTTGTTACAGCAGCCTCAGACAATTAATGCAGCATCTTTCAAGGAGGTATACGAATTGTAAAATTATATCTTGCTATTTTTTTGAACCAAAAAATACTTCTTTAATGTCAAAGGTGTCCACAATCAGAAGTTTCTTCTGTCAAAGTTCCAAAGGGAAAAAAAAAATTATCACTAAGCACTACTGATATTGAATACATGTCTAAAAATTCATCACCTGACTCTCTCCCATCTTGCAAAGAATGGCTCCTTCCCTCTTCCATCAATTCCCACAGCCTATCAAGCCACCTCTTTCTTATTTATTGAGACAACAAAGCATCATTATATTTTATGTATAAACTGTAGTTATTTTCAAAATTTTATTTACTTCTTATATACAAATGCTTTCATTGCTCAATGTTATATTTGTCTATTTGTGGAAAATGTTTGGGTATCTTAGGTTAGGTTGAAACACATCATAAATTTTCCCATTAAAGTTAAGAGAGGTAGCTTTTTCTTCACTGGCTTTTCATTTAGTGACTGCATTTATAGAAATGAATTATATTTCTATAAATATAGAATAAGATATATTTAAGATATATTTATTTAATATATCTTATATTTAATATATCTTATATAAGATACATTAAGATATATTTATTTCATCTATAGTATGATAAATGCCACCTGGTAGGGAGATTGATTTCTTGGCCCTCTTCACCAATGTCTTATCAAGAATATGGAACAAAAAGTTTAAAAAAATGGTTCAAACATGCCATCTCATCTACAGTAAGCTAGATGCTACTCCCCCATCTAAAATACATGTCTACATTCTAATCTCTGGAACCTGTTACTATTATTTTCATGGAAAGCAAGAGTTATAGGTTGGAAATCAGTGACTTGGCCCAGTCCTTTCACGTCACTGAAGCAGTAACAGGGGGCATGAGGAATGAAGTACCTTCCTTAGACCATCCATCTGGTTGGAGTCCCAGCAAGAACAGAATCCAGGTCTCCTACACCAACTCCCTAGTATTCTACCCAAGGTTTTAAGAAAGGACTGAAGAAAAATGTGATGAATAAAGAGTCAGAAAACAACAAAACTTTTTTTTCCTCTTTTGAGAAAAGACAAAAATTGTATAGACATTCTTTAGCCTAAAAAAGGGAAGAGAAGGTCTTTCTCATGACTCAGACGGTAAAGAATCTGCCTGCAATACAGGAGACCAGGTTTGATTTCTGGGTTAGGAAGATTCCCTGGAGAAGGGAATGGCTACCCACTCCAGTATTCTTGCCTAGAGAACTCCACGGACAGAGGAGCTACAGTCTGCGGGGCCACAAAGAATTAGACACAACTGAGCAACTGAGCACACACACAGTAAATGAGTTAACAAATGCCTAGAGGTGAAGAAAACATTAACTGGCTAAAGGCTACCTGACGTACACTTATTCTCACTAATAATAAGACCTTTCTTAAGATCTTATAATAAGACCTTAGAAGACTCAACTCAAGGGGTCTTAAAGACTCTCTTACATGAGATTCTACTAGCAGTATCTCAGTTGTAGAATAAAAATTCACACAACTAGTTCAAGTCAAATGGGTAGGAGGGAAAACATTACAGAAAAGCTACAAAAGATCTCATGGATATCCAAGAAAAGAAAATGGAGTTTAGATGAACCAAATGGGAAATGAAACTAGAAGCTCCCCCCACCATCTCTCATGGGTCTCCATTTGTCTGGTCCACTCTACAGCTTCTCACTATAGACTATCTTCCCCTGCTCTCTTGTTGCCTCCGACTTGCATATGGCTTTTACGGTGTCAGTTCAGTTCAGTTCAGTCACTCAGTCATGTCTGACTGTTTGCGACCCCATGAACTGCAGCACATCAGGCCTCCCTGTCCATCACCAACTCCCGGAGTTCACTCAAACTCATGTCCATTGAGTCGGTGATGCCATCCAACCATCTCATCCTCTGTCGTCCCCTTCTCCTCCTGCTGTCAATCTTACCCAACTTCAGGGTCTTTTCCAATGAGCAAGCTCTTCGAATCAGGTGGCCAAAGTATTGAAACTTCAGCTTCAGCATCAGTCCTTCTGATGAATATTCAGGACTGATTACCTTTAGGATTGACTGGTTGGATCTCTTTGCAGTCCAAGGGACTCTCAAGAGTCTTCTCCAGCACCANCCATCTCTTTCAGAATTTTCCACAGTTTATTGTGATCCACACAGTCAAAGGCTTTGGCATAGTCAATAAAGCAGAAATAGATGTTTTTCTGGAACTCTCTTGCTTTTTCGATGATCCAGTGGATGTTGGCAATTTGATCTCTGGTTCCTCTGCCTTTTCTAAAACCAGCTTGAACATCTGGAAGTTCTCAGTTCACGTATTGCTGAAGCCTGGCTTGGAGAATTTTGAGCATTACTTTACTAGCGTGTGAGATGAGTGTAGTTCAGAACCAAGTCACAAGTCCATATGATCCTTCAGTCAAAGGATTCATCATCATCTAATTAACTCAGAACCTCAGGGTCCATATTCTCAAGAAGAAAATTTAGTTGGCTCAAAGCATTCAACAAAGTCTCTAAATTGTTTTCTACTGAGTCAGCTGCTCATCCCACAAAGACTGGTGTTTGACAGGTACTAAAGTCTGTGCAGATTCTTCAAAGGCACATAGAGCAAAGAGGAAATGATCAGCATGTGCATTATGGTAATCAAGAGTTATATAGCTCTTTTAGTTAAGGATACTCAGTAGAATTGCGTCATTTCTGTATTTGAGCTTTTGGAAGAGATGACCACAACCTGGAATCAGAGAGAAGGAGCCTAAAATTTCCTTCTAGCTCTATGAGTTTACAGCAAAACTTTACTACTTAGGGTGGTATTATCAGGTTTTATCAATTAATATCCAGAAGTATCTTCAATTAGCAGACTATCAGGGAAATCTCAGGAAACGAAAAACCTCAGTTATACAATCTGGTCACTGACCTGCCATTACTTCAAGGAAAGGAATAAAAAGAAGATATTAGCAGTACTTACAGAAGAAAAAAATCCTCCGAACTAACTGTGATCAAAGTACAGTGCAACAGTTTTACAGAGCAGTAGATTATAACAGAACTGGCTCCTTGGGTAATTAAAAAAAAAAAAAGGCTGACAGGGGTTGAGAAGAGGGGAGGATGAATAGGTAGGATATAGAGAATTTTTAGGACAGTGAAACCACTCTGCATGATACTCTAATGGTGGATATATGTCACTATACATTTTTCTAACCCCATAGAATGTACCATACCAAGAGTGAACCCTAAAGTAAATGATGGACTTTGGATGATTATGATGTGTCAATGAAGGTTCATTAACTATAACAAATGTACAGTTAATGTGGCAAGGATGTTGATAATGGAGGAGGTTGTACATATGTAGGGGAACAAAATATATGGTAAGTCTGTACTTTCCACTCAATTTTTCTAAAAACCTAAAACTCCTCTCTAATAAAATAAAAGAGTCTTTTTTAAAGGCCATGGTGACAGGAGCAATTTTGGCTCAACAAAACTCAGATCTACTCTAGACACTCAAAGAATAAGGCTCAGAAATAGCAGGAGCAAAGTGAAAAAGGCAAAAAAAATGGATCTCAACTATTATCTGGCAGCAGCTGCAGACCTCACACCCTATATAGTAAAATTAATCAGTTCCCTGAGTTACAATTTCATAAATTCAGACAGCCAAATGCTTGCTTCCTCCAGACATAGAGGATAATTTGTGCTGGTTATACTATGAGGCATTATCTGCTTCAAAGTCTACCATGTGACTCCTCAACCACCAGGAAATTAAAACACAAAAGCTTTTTATTGTGTCTCCCCTTCAGTCTACCCTCAAGATACTATGTATTTCCAATGTCAACCAAGAATTTCATAAGGGAGAGCGCCTCTCACATGTAAAATATGAAGGTTTTTTTGGCTGCTTCGTTTGTTTATTCATCCAACTTAGACTACAGGATATTCTACAGCAGCACATGCCCTCCAGCATTAACTCCATGGCCCAGCTTTTCCTTAAACCCTTCCTCTAACATGATGCTCCTCTCCCTGTCACAAGAAGTCTGATCTTTTTACCTTCCTATAACTCATCTTCAAGACCACTCGTTTAAAGGCAAGGTGCTCTCAAGTAACAGGTTAATTATGTAGGTATGTATGTGCCCAGCCTAAGGGCTAATAATGTGCTACTGATCTACTGATCCTTCCCTGTCACACCAAAAGAATTGTATTTGGTCTGACAGTGCTCAAAAAGTTTAACCATATCTATCTGGTTAAAATAAAA